AACACCTGGGAAGTTATTCCTAACGAAGAAGTGAGAGAAGGCAGTTGTATGTTTGAAGATGTTCATTGTAACATTGGTTGCAGTAGGAGAAGCTGGAAGGAAGTGGAAATGTCCAGCAGTTGGAGAAGATCAAGGAAGTTATGATGTATTGATGGACCTTTAGCTGTTAAACATGGTCATTATGAAGATTATGTAGCAACAGGAAAAAGGAAGTGTTCAATGAAAAAAGAAAATAGTATCTATGATGTAGTTTCAACTACATAATTGTCACAGGCTCTGGACAAGGGTGGGAAAGCCACCCAGAGAAACATTGCCATGGCTCAGGCCCGGGGCCGGGGACATGAGGGTCTCAGAGGAGACAGTGCTGCAGAGCTTGGCCTTTGGGGTCAGACTTGAGCCATGATGTTCATCTCTGCCTCCTGGGGCTGGTGGGGTTCGAGGAGAGGACGCACGTGTGGCTCAGAAGATGCTCTCAGAGGAAAGGAAGACGAAAGGCTGGTAGAGGAGACTCCAGATATTCCGGGCGAGGAGCACAGGCACCATCAAGCGCCAGGTCCCCCTCAGTGTCCCCAGTCGGCGCCATGTGTGGTCAGACGTGGCCAGACTGCATAAGAGATATGGAGCCATATGCAGGCATACTCAAACAAAGCGCCTGTCACAAGTTGGCTAAGAGGTGGGCCTAGGCCCACCTTATCAGGGGGTTGAAATCGAGGTCCAGTGAAGACACGCTTACAGGGTTAGTGTGGGTGGGTTCATATGTAGGTGTGGGGCCCACAGGAGGTGAGAGAAAGGGGGCCAACTCAGGGTTTGGGCTTGCCTCCTCTGAGGGTGCTGCTGCTCCCAGAGCCCAAAGTTTGCAGGAGCAGGGCCAGGGCCAGTTGTCTGTGGACACCCCCAGTGCCTTTGAGATGCAGAAGAAGAGTGCCCGGTGGGCATTGGGGTCCTGAGGCGATGCCTGGGCTTGTGATGCAGTGCAGATTTGGAGCTGCCTCAGCTGGGACTGCCCAGGAAGAGCAGAGGTGGAGTGAGCAAAGGAAAGGATCTGGGGTTGGGGCTTGAGGACCTCCGAGTGGACAAAGATGAGGCTGCAGAGGGGCCTCAGGTGGAAGGAATGGCCCTAAGTCCAAGTAGCTGCTCTGAGAGATGAGGTGTGGCAGGGCTGATGGGTCCTTGGCTTTGGTGACAGTTTGCCCAGGCAGGGGCAATCTGGTGTGGTGACAGGTAGGAGTCCAGTAGAGATCCTTTTGTAATGTTAATGTAGATTTTAGTAAAAACCTGTATCTGCTTTCTCCCTGGTTGTGCTGTCGCATTTTCTGTTGCCCTGGTCAGTTGTGTTTGGTACCTCTTCCATGTATGGTGAGGATGAAAAGGGGAAAAAATAGGCTTAAAAAAAAAAACGTGTTTGAAAAAACAGGTTTAAAGTGTTGAGGAAGTAATGTTAGCAAATGATACATGGACGGAAATACAGTGGAAAGTGACATCCTCTCTGTTCCCAGTTATCGGTGTGCTTTGCCCATGTACATTTGCGACAAGGAGCAGCTGCTGCAGTGGTTCTCCTGGAGCTCAACTGGGACCCTGCCTGCCTTGGACATTTGATGATGGGGACCTTGAGTCTCGCTGCAGGGGTCTGGCCACTGACGTTTAGCCATGACATTTAGCTCCTGGCCTTGGGTCAATTTTGCTGCCCCTTCCCCTCCTGTGTGATGCACGTGGCTCAGGGCAAGACAGGAAGTGCTGCTGGGGTCCACTCCAGCCCAGCGGGGGCTGCTGTTGGGTGGTCAGCCCCACCCCACCCCCTTGGTTTCCACGTTGCTTTTGTGTCTGACTTTGCAAAGTCTCACTTTCCCTTCTGTCTCCTTACGTAACCCTTTGGAATAATTTCAGGGTAACCAAGAAGGTAAGTTGGAGAAAACATTTGTGGTTGTGGTAACTTCCAGGCCCACTGCATTGAAAATGGAAGATTCTCCCCAAAGCCATTGGGCCCTGCTGAGGAAACATGTTTGCCTGGAGGAGCAACAGAGCCTGGCCACCCCAGCCGCAGCCTCTGCCTACCCTTGCTATGGCTGTCCCTCTGCCCTGGCCACCCAGACATGTGCGCTTAACCTTGTCCTTCCTCGGGGTGTGAGAACCATTGAGAGTCACCTCCCTGTCCTGTTACCTTCGAGGGGTGGCCAGTGCAGGTAACAGCTGGAACAGGACAAGGTGTGTCTGCTCTCCAGACACCAGTTAGGTGCTACAGATTTTGATTTGCCGGAGAGGGAGACCTCCAAGATGTTCGTAATATTGGAATATACGTGGTGCCCAGCCACTGAGGACAGTAAGGTGGGATCTCATCATCTTTTCACCCAGTCCTTCCTTCATTCATCAGTTAGCACATACCAGGTCCCTGCCATGTGCCAGGCACTGAGGAGGCAACAGTGAACAAGAGCAAGGCCCCTGCTCTTGAGGAGTGTACTTGCAGCAGCAGGGAGGGACGAGTAAGAGAGCTGGAGTGCAGTGACCCAAGTGGTGAGGCTGGGGAAAGGCAGAGTAGGCGTGGGGCTGCTCCCTTTCCCCTTCCCACCCACCCTCCATAGAAAGGGCTGCTTTCCAGAACTTCTGGCTCATGTGAAGGCTGCAGCTTGGTCTTGCTTTCTGCACAGCCGGGGGAGGGGTGCCAGTGAGATTTGCCATGACTTCCAGGTAGGTTCCTTGGTGCCAGGTTCTTAGATCTGTGAGGGGTCACTGAGGACTGTTGAGGTCCCGCCCCATTTGGGAACTCGTGCTTTTCTCTTTGCAGGCCATAGGCTAGTGGCCCTCCAGGAGGTGGAGTTTGAATGGGTAGGAGTCTGTGGCAGAGGCAGGCCAACACAGGCCAGGCACACGCCGACTTTGATCAAGTCCTGTGGGGCTTTGGCTGGGAGCGTGGGATGTTTATGTGAGTTTTATTATCAAGGCAATGGTTTGTAAGGTGGTTGGTTGGAACCTGAAAAGTGTCATCTCCCCTTAGAAAACATCACTGATGTTGTTAACTGATCATTGGTCCAGTCCACAGAAGCCCCTCGGTCCTTGTTGGAACTGAAGGAGAATTATCTCAGAAACCCTGTCTTTGGGGTTTGGAAGAGGGGAGTCATGTGGGGGTGGGGGAGGCGAGTGAGGCCTGCTGCTGTGGGACGCTGGATTTGAAGGGACATGTCTGCACAGTTTGCTAATGCCCGCTGCAAGAGGCTGCCCAGTGTACAGGGCTGAGAGCTTTGTAGCCTGCGTTTGCCAGGTGCCATTGTCCCTGACAAGGAGCATTGCGGGCTGGTGGCAGCACATCCTCCACCAGCCTGGTCGTTAACTGCCATTCCATCCTATGGTGGTTCTCCTGGACCTTGTCATACCACATCTGGATGGGGCCTTCTCTGAGATTGGCAAAGAATAGGCAGGGTCCCACAGCTGGGCCCAGCTAGCTCTGCAGCCCACTGCTGGCAGGGCAGCATGGTGACCTCTCTGGCCTGCAGATATACAAGCTTGGGCACATCACAGCCCTGTCTGGATAAATTAGGCTTGTCATCAGGATTGGATGAGATCCAGTTTGGAGGCACCCCGTGCTCTAGAAAGCAGGGTGCAGGTGGTGCTGGCAGTGTTACTGCTGAGGAGTATCTGAGTTGGCTGCGCACGAGATGCCAGGCAGAACCTGCTGCTTTGGGAAGAGCGATTTTGTCCACCATATCTTTGTGTATGAATCTTCTCGAGGGCTTATTCAAATGCAGCTTCTGATCCAGGAGGTCTGCACTGACGCTGGTGCTGCTGAGCCCTGGGTTACAGTTGAGAGCAGTAAGGGTCTGGCTCAGCTGTGGGGCGGGCGGGGGTGGGGGGAAGAGGGGAAGAGACAGGATTCCAGACAGATTCAGTCACAGGTAGCTTAATTCCCATTGGAGGAAACCTCGCAGAGCTAGGACGGAAAATAACCTGTCAGATGCCCCCAGGCTGGATTCATGTCCTCCAGTCGTGGAGGATGGATACAGGGTATCGCTCACACCGACTGTTTGGGGGACAATAGATTGTCAATTGCCTAAGACTTTCTGCAGATGTTTGCGGCCTCTGGCCTTTCCTGTGTGAGCGTGGGTAGCTGGCTCCTTCTCTTGGGTCTCCAGGTGAAGTATGAAAAAACTCCACAGGCTGGCTGATGAGGGTGCATGTCCTTAAGTTCAGCCTCAGTGGCTGGTGAGCCTTTTATTTCACAACCTATAGGGCACTGTTACCCAGCTCCAGCCACAGCACATCTCCTGAGCGCTGGGCCCAACTCTGAGACAGGAGTTGCTTTTTCCAAACCCACAGTTAGGATGCACAGGTGTTTGTAGGGGCACGCAGAATGTCCCAGAAAGAAGAGTTGATGTTTATTGATGCCTGCTGGAGCCCAGTCTGTTATGAGGAATGCATTACACATGGTCTCGCATTGGCTGTTCAGTCCTTGTGATACCCCTGGGACGCCTAGCCATGACAGTCCTCTTCGTTTTACTGAGGGTAGAAGGAACTTTTGACTCCACCCACCACCCCGGGAAGGCTGAACCCAAGTGGAGTCTGATGCCTCCCCTCCAGCAGACAAGGCTTCTTTTTCTTTGTCTACCACCTCTCCTACATTGTCCAGGACTTTGTTGCATCTGTCCTCTGCCTCCATGGTTGGTTTGCAGCTTTATTGAGGTGTAATTGACATAGAGTAAACTGTGCACACTGAAAGTGTACACTTTGATGTATTTGGACCTGTAAATACATCTGAGGAACCATCACCACAATCACAGTAATAAACATATTTCCAGAAGTTTCCTCTTGCCCTTTTGTAATCTCCCCCCCATCCCCAAGCAACTGCTGATCTGCTTTCTGTCACTGTAGATTAGTTTGCCTTTTCTAGAATTTTGTGGAATCATGCAGTAGGTACTCTTTTTTGTTTTATTTTGGTTTGGGTTCTTTTTTCATTCATATTTATTTTGAGATTCATGCATGTTATGTATATCAGTAGTTCATTCTTTTTTGTTGCTGAGTAGTATTTCATTTTATGGATATACTACAATTCATTTATTCATTCATATGTTGCTGGACTTTTGGGAAGAATCCGCCAAAATGTTTTCCGAGGTGGTTATACCATTTTATACTCCCACCAGCTGTGTATGAGAGTTCCACTTGCACCACATCTTGGCCAGCACTTGGTATGGTCAGTCTTTTTCATTTTGGCTATCCTGATAGGTGTGTAGTGGTATCTCACGGTGGTTTTAATTTGCATTTTCCTAATAATGTTGAGCCCATCTTGAACTTCAGGTGTTCATTTGCCATGCATATCTCTTCTTTGGTGAAAGATTTGAATAGCTATTTGAATCATTTGGCCATTTTTTTCCCTTGCATTCCTTGTCTAATTATTGAGTTGAAAGAGATTATTCTAGATACAAGTCCTTTTTTAGATACAGGATTTATATGTTTTCTCCTGGTCTCTGGCTTGCTTGCCTTTTCATTTTTATGACAGTCATCTTTTGAAGAGCAAAGATTTTCAATTTTGATGAAATCCAATTAATGTTTTCTGTATAGTTTGTACTTTTTGTGTCATATTTTTGAAGTCTTTGCCAAACCCAAGGTCACTAAGATCTTCCCCCTGTATTTTCTTGTAGATGTTTTATGGTTTTAGCTCGTATATTTAGGTTCACGATCTGCTTTGTGTTCATGTTTGTATCTTGTGGGGTAGAGGGCAAGGGATTTTTGTTTTGTTTTGTTGTTGTCTTTTGCATGTCACTGTCCAATTGTGCCAGCACTCTTTGTTGTAGGATGGTTTGTTCCCTGTTGAATTGCCTTAGCACCTTTGTTAAGGGTCAGCTGACCATGTATGTGTGGGACTGCTAAGGGACCCTATTCTGTTCCGTTCATCTATTTGTCTGTCCTTGCCCCAATACCACACTGTCTTGATTATATAACGTCTTAAACTCAGATAATGTGTGTCTTCCGATTTTCTTTTTTCAGTTTGCTGGCTATTCCAGGACCTTTGTGTTTCCATATAAATTTTAGAATCAGCTTGTCGATTTCTCCAAACACTGCTGGAATTTTGATTGGGATTGCATTGAGTCTGTAGGTCAGTTTGGGGGACAAGTTACATCTTAACAATGTTGACTCTTCTAACCCATTAACTTGGTGTCTCTCTCCATTAATTGATGCCTCTTTTAATTTCTCTCAGCCATGTTTTCTACTTTTCAGTGTTGAGCTCTTACGTGTCTTTTGTCAAATTTATCCCTCAGTACTTTGTAGTTTTTAGTTGCTGTTGTAAAGGGAATTGGTTTTTTAAATTTGTTTCTGAATGTTTGTTGCTTGCATGTAGAAATACAGTAGAATTTTATATTGAACTTGTATCCTGCAACCTTGCTAAATTCACTTATTTTAGTAGCTTTTGTCTAGATTCTGTCAGATTTTCCATATATTCTGTTGTTTGTGAATAAAGGCAGTTTTACTTCCTCTTTTCCAATCTGAATCTTTTCTCTTTTTTCTGTTTTCCTTGCTCTGTTGCACTGGCTGGACCCTCCTGTACAAAGCTGAATAGAAGTGGTGAGCGCACATCCTTGTCTCGTACCTTTTCTTAGGGGAAAAAGATTTCAGCTATTCACCATCAAGTATGATGTTAGCTTTGGGTAGTGTATTGAAGCACTTTATCAAGCCAAGAAAGTTCTCTTCTATTCCTAGTGTGCTGAGAGTTTTTATCAGGAATGGATGTCCAATTTTGTCAAATCTTTTTTCTGCGTCTATTGGAATGATCATAAGACTTTCATTTTTGGCCTCTTAACATGGAAAATTACATTGATTTTTGAATGTTACTGCCTCCCCCACTTCAGTTTCTAGTCTCCCTTTCTTTGCTTTACTTCTTTCCTAGTGTAGGCATGCAGACTTTTCTTATCCTAATCATTCCATTGCCCGCCCTCAAACCAGCTGTCTGTTTCTGCCTTTGTCACCAGTGTGACTGGCTAATGGCCTCTTGCATGGAGGCAGGTATGGACTGACTGCACAGGATCAGCAGGTCAGGTTAGTAATGAACCTGTGGCCAGGTGTTTAACGGGCACCCTGACTTCCTAGTTGGGAGAGTGGCATAATACCTACTTTGGAGGTCTGTGGTCTGAAAAGAGACCACGGTGTGGTAGGATACAGATGCCTAGGCAGTGGCTGCTGCCTGCCTGCCTCTCTCCAATAACTTTAGAGCTTGCTCCTTCCTGGGGACACTGAGCTACTGAGTGCTCCTTCCCTGGAACCTTGAGAGCCCCTTGTCCTCCCCAGACTGAACCCTGCTTGGGGCAGGAGCATGTGGACACATTTCTCTGTGAGCTGTGAAGCATGGTGCTCCCCGCGGGTCTCACAGGTCACTGGGGCTCATTTGCAGTGGTTCTTAGACCTTGTTCTGTGGGACCCTCAGAGTCTGTGCCACTGTGGGGGAGTGATAGCCTGACTCACCAACACCTCTTCCTCCTCCTCCACAACCCCAGCAGCTCTGGCGTCTGTTTGTAGGATAGGATTGACTATAAGATTACTTTTTATTAAATTACAACATGTATCTAGAAGGGTGCACAAGTCATAAGTTTTACATTTCAGTGATTGTTTGTAAAGTGAACATACCCAAGTCACCCCCGCCCGGGTCAAGGAATAGAACGTTTCCCCAGAAGCCACTCATGCTCCCTCTCCTAGTCACTTCCCACCCCCAGCTAACTTCTGTGACTTCTGTTACCAGCGAGAAGTCCTGCCTGCTTTTGAGTTTTCAGCCCGTTGCAGAGTGTGTCCTTTTGTACCTGGTTTTTCTCTGGACACTCTTTGGAGATTTACCTTTGCTGTTGTGTGTAGCAGGAGTTCATTCACTGACCTTGACTGGATAGACATGATTTAGTGATCCCTTGGACTGTTGATGGGTATGCGGCTGGTTTTCACGAAGGCTGTTTTAGCTACCCTGAGTGTTCTCCATGCACACATGCTCACGCTTCTCTTCTGTTCTCCGTGTACCCCAGGGTGGAATTGCTGGGTCGACGGGTATGGGTGTCCATCCTTAGGTGATGTTTGACACAGACTCACCTTCCTGTTCTGTGGGTGACAGTGTCCTTGGTTCTCTCCATGGTGGCCCCTGTTGCAGGAATGTCTGCTGAGAAAGTCCCTGTGTCCCCTGTCACTCCTCTAGCTCCACACAGAGCCCAGGAGTATGTGGAGGGAGGGGCAGCCTTGGACCTGACCTCGCCCCAAGTGTAGTCTGCTGACAGGCTCCATGGTGACCCTCCTTCCGGAGTGCTTACTGTGTGCCAGGCACTGTCCTGGGTGTCTCTGTCTGTCTCTTGTCTCCCAGGAGTCTGGGAGGAAGCTTCTGTCATCCTCCCACATTAGTGACTGAGGGCTCAGCTGAGTGGGCTGGGTGGGTAGGCTCAGAGCTGCCCACTGACCTCCAGCTGTACAGTCTTCTCTGGCACTTTGCCCTGGAGCACTTGTTCAGGAGTTCATGCAGCTAACGTGGGCTGAGGCAGTGTCCTGGCTGATGGCTGCTGTGCATGTGGGACAGGCTTACCCGACCCTTACTTACCTTTAGGGCCTGGTGAGTTTGAGGATAAGAGCTCCTCCATGCTTACCCTGAGACTTGCCAAATGACTTCACCAGAGTGGCCGCCACCCGGGTTTGGGTAGTTCCTGTTACTCTTTTCCTGTCCACTCAGCTCAGAACAGACGTGGTGACCCCATGGGGAGTGCCCGGGAAAGTGGGGGCCACCGGGGCGCCCTGGTCATCGTTTGTGGGTGTGGTCACTTTTACCATCATCGCTCAGCAATCTCAGGTTCTGGGGCCACTTCTGGGCTTCAGCCCTTCTAAGAAGGGGCGTGTCCTCTGTTCTCTTCCCTGTAGTCCTTCTCTCGTCCAAAAGGAACCAGTTGGTTGCCACATTCGGGGCTCCTGACACCTTGGCTGAGCCTCAGTGGTAGTGTTTCACCTGTTGCTTCTGTCCTTGCCTCTGGCCATCTCCACCCGTGCCCCAGGACTGGGCCATAATGGGCCCTTCCCCCATCTGCCTAGGTGCTCAGAAAGCATTTGGTGACTTGTTGAGGGGCATTCTGGAGTGTCTGTGGTTCCTGGATCCTGCAGCAGCCCCGGTGGGCCGACTAGTAGCCTCCAGGCGCCACGCTGGGCACTGTGCTGCCTGAAGGGATCTCACACACCACAGAGCAGTGAGGCCCACCTGGCTTGGCTCCTGCGGACACAGAGGCTCCCAGGATGGCGGTCAGTGCACTATTTGGGATCTACAGACATGACCTTACCGTTTTCCCAACATTCTACTTGGGCTCCCAGCCTCACAGAGGAGGAGCTGGTGGTAGGTCTTGCTGACGTCCAAGTTGGGCCAGCGTTGGAGGCCAGGTCCAGCCCACTGCGTCTTTGAGCAGCTCCTCCCTCTGGCCCTTGTCTGTCCAGCCCCACCTCTGGGCCTTTTCAGTTGGCAGCGCAGGAGCACACTCCTGTTACTTTGCTAGTTACTTAGCAGTCTCTCAGAGGTTGGCCCCTATCAGTTCCTGAAAAGCCGGCTTGTTCCCATTTTGGACCACCCATATTCTGCATGCATTTGGGACAGTACTGTGTGTGCCCCTCCTGTGGGGTTGGGTCTTTCTCTCTTGCCCAGTGGTATTCTTATTGGCTGTTCCTATGAGAGCGAGGCTGGGAGGGAGTAATTGCCACCGGCGTGCTGTGCTGTCTGTCATCAGATGCACTGCCAGCTGGCCCCTTCTGTGAGCATGTATGGCAGGAGTAAAAAGCTCTGCCAGGGTTTCTGATTTTCCAGTTGTATCAATTGGAATGAACCAATTCACAGGTGACATGTTGAGAGCTCTTGTGCTCTCAAAAAGGGCCAGATTACAACAAGAATTGCACGGCCTGTGGACTGATCCAGAGGTCAGGAGAGTTTAAGTTCGTAGTTTAGTTGGGAAGAGCTGCTGAGACTAAAGTGGGAAGGAGAGAGAGAGTTTGGGGGTGTTGGCTGTGGGGAGGAGCACTGCCTGCCCTCCCTGCTTCTTGTTTGCAAGCCTCTCTCGCAGAGGTCCACTGGTGGCAGCCACGCGTGCTCATGTGCTGATGGGGAGCTCCAGTCGCTGCCATGGGCCTTGGGCTTCCTCCTGCTGGGCTGCTGGTGGGCTGCAGGCCGTGCTCTGCCTGCTCCTGGACCCAGGCTGGAGTTTCCGTCGCATGCTCTGGCGGCTGTGAGTGCACTACAGTTAAGGCCACTCAGATGGTGGCCACGCTCCAGCTGTGGGCGCTCCTGGGAACAGATGGGCCCCACTGGTGAGGAAGTGCTTTTGTGCTTTTGCTAAGTGATGGGCTTAGCAGTGGTAGCTGGGACACAGCATCTCCTGCCCCTGTGTCATTCTTCCTCCGAGAAGCAGTGAATGAGACAAGGAATGGGGTCCAGGCAGAGGAAGCCTCCTTCACCAGGCAGAGCACGAAACGCCGCATGGCATCCACCCACAGGAGGTTCCCCTTGTTTCCTTCCGTCTGTTGTGGGACCAGGCAAGGCAGTGTAGGGCCGGGAGGCTGCACCTTCCAGAGCCAAGAGGAAGGATTGAGCTGCACTGACTTCTGCTGCTTGCTTAGGGAGACAGGGTGGGAAATGGGCTGGGTTCTGCCAGGCTCTCTGGGGAACGCAGGCACCACCTCGTGCACTGACTTGTGGCAAAGGCAGTTTGAGTCACAGAGCGGCACCCGCCTAGGAACAGGTATGAAGTTCGTCAGAAACAGGAAGACTTGCTATGGCTGAAAATGGTGTGGCTGGGATGAAATCACAGACAGGCATGCGCCCAGCAAAGCCCTGTTTCACACACCCGCACGCATGCCCTCAGCGGACACAACCTGCTGTGTGGCTGGCGGGGCATGGTGACTCAGCCGGGGTTGGCATTAGAATGCTCAGCACATTGAAAGTCTCGTAGACTGCTTGCTTCTGGGTGCCATCTGTGGTGTGTTTTTGTTTGGAAAGATAGCTTGCTTGCTAGTGAACACTTGTGAAGTCTTTTGAGCACTTATAAAGTCTTTTGAGCTAAGTACTTTTTGTAAATTCTGATCTAGACCATTCTGCATTAAAAAAAGAAAAAAGACAACTTCCACATCATTGGTTTTTACAGTGAACTAGTTCTTATGGGCGCTTTTCTGCTTTGAGCCCACTGAATGAGTTGGTATGGGCTGCACCACACGGATGTGGGGCCACAGGGTGGTCGGGGGCTGGCCAGACAGTGAGGCAGGGTGAGCCTACCCTTGGTGTGCGCTGTTCCCAGGGCCTGGCGGGGAGTGGGCTCCAGTGCCGTTGTCATTTACCAAGTAGCCTGCAGCTCAGGGTCAGCCTTGGGAGTGGGTCTGTGGGTCTGTGGGTCTCTCTGGCTCTAGGGTCCCTCAAGGGGGAGGCACAGGCACTGCTGAGACCATTGAAGGTGCTGCCGGGCACAACGCTGCTGCCCTTGTCTGGCTTCAAGGAACTCTTTGTAAGCTGTGCGTTTCCCTGCTGTGGCAGTTCAGAGAGAACGTGTGGGCAGGATGCCAGCGCCACAGCCTGGTTATGTCTGGGTGCCCTCCCTCACCTTCACCAAGTAGAGCACTGCCTGGGCTGTGTGTAGTGAGCAGAGCCGGGGCCAGGCTAGCATACAGCCATGTTCTGCCACCTTCACAGCTGCATGGCGAGCCCTGGACCTCCATTCCCTTCTCAAATCCTCAGTTTACTTATCTGTGAAGTAGGATTCCAAGGATAAAAAGCTAGAGAGCTTGGCCCGTGGAGGACCCCAACAACAGGTGGTCCTGTGAGAGTCGGGCTGGGGTGGGCCTGCCCTGCCTCGATGCCCTTAGGTCCCACCAGTGCTGCACCTTGGGAAGTGAAGGGTTTCTTCTTTGACACACAGTTGCACGTGGCCAGCTTAATTCCCAAGAGATTAGGGATTTCGGGTGCAGTGGGAACCCTTGATGCATGGAGAAAAGGGAGCAGGGAGCAAGGGGCTTCGCAGACTCTGAAGCTGGTGTCTCAGTTCCTTGTTTCACATCGGGGCTGGAAATCCCCCACGGGGCAGTAATTACTCAGGTCCTGGGGTTTACCTACGTATCCCCTGAAACAGGGCCAGCATGAGGCTGGTCATTGGCAAGTCGCCCCACTGCACAGGCTGGCTCCACCTCTGTACAGGGATCCAGAGCTGGACCAACGATCCGATTCACAGAGCAGCTTTCAGATGTGTGATGAGAGCCAGTAACAACATTTTTTTTCCAACAGTTTGGTTTTAAAGATGATTCCACATGCTCTGTTTTAGGCAGTCTTTCTGAAGACAGTCTGGTCTCTTGGACTCTGGAGAAGCCAGTGGTGTGACTGTGTGTCAGAAGGCAGGCCACATGGGCAGCGTGGCTGGCTGGCCTTCAGGAGCAGCCTGGGAAGAAGCCCTGAGCAGCCAGGTCCTGCATCTCAGCTGTGGTTGCAGGATCATGGATGTGCAAGTGTCTGGCAGGAGCTGGGACTCTGTGCTGACCAGAGGTGGGCAGGCTATGGAGCACTGTCTGTCCCTTCCCTGGGTTACTGTTGGTTCTTTACCGTGTTTCTGCCCTCCCCGGACAGGGTGCCCTGGCCTGTGCAGTCCCCATGAGATGCCCCCAGACACATGTGTGAGTGCACACGTGATGGCGTCTGCAGACAGGTGAGGGCTTTGTGTGGCTTGTGGCCTATCTTCAGGTGACAAGCTTGGGACCCCTGTTGCCGAATCCTCCCTCCCTGGCCTCAGTGCCTTGGGAACCCAACCACTGAGCCTGTCCTCTCCGTGGCTGTGGCCCTCTGGAGAGCGCCTTGGGAAGCTGTTGGGCCTGTGTTTGTGTGAGCGTCCTCCCTATCTGAGGGCGGAGGAGGTCCAGCCTGTCCTGGACGAAGGAGCTGTTGAATGCGCGAGGCCTGGCGCCACCTCTCTGGCCTCTAGCAGGGAGATCTGGACCCCTCTCCACTTGAGAAGTGTGGGCTGGTTTTGTACCGGCTCTGTTGAGCAGCAGCTCAGCAGCTTGCGCCAGGCTTGGTGAGGAGCTCCGAGGGTCACACCAGATGGGGATGTGCCCTGTGGTTTGGATCTGAGGTTGAGGGGGCTCGAGACAGGCTCACTGCTGAGGGAGACACAGGCGCCAGCCAGATGGTGCAGCACAGGTCGCGCGGTGAGGAACCAGGAAACAGTTGGTGCTCCTTCCACCTCCACATGGCTGCCGGCGCCGTCCAGGCCCGTGACTCTCCCAGCCCAGTGTTTGGATACGGGGGTCTTTCATAACCATTCGGATGGGTGGGAAATTTCAAACATAAATGTGAGAGGCTGATGTTACCCCTCAGGAGATACCAGCTTACAGTGAGCAACAGTGTTTCATTTGTCCCCTCCTGCCACCCACCTGAGGAGATTATTTTGTAGCAAGTCCCAGATCGCATCATTTTGTCAGTAAATACTCTAAAACATGTCATTAAAAGTGAGGATGAGTGGTGTACCTTTAATGGTTCCCACGGCACTTGGCCTGCTGCGGAGTTTTGCACTGGTGCCTCATTCCTCCCATGTGACCCAGTGGGGAAGACAGGGATGACACTGGCCGCAGGTGTGAGCAGAAGTGGTGGTGTCCTGCCCTACTGGATCCAGACCCTTAGCCAAGCTGCTTCTGAGGGGTGGCATCCTCCCCGCTGGGCTGTTGCCTGTGCGTGTCCAGGCCCCCTTCCTTCCTCCTGTTCAGTGTGATTTGAGCAGCAAGTGTCGCCAGTTAGGCTGGCTGGAGTAGCAACTTAGCATGGGCCGAGGGTCTCTCTGAGAGCAAAGGCCTTTCTGCTTCCTTTGCATCTGCTCTTGGCTCTCATGTGGTGGGAAGACCCCATCAGAGCCCTGGGAACTGGGTCGGCACTGAGGGCATCCCCTAGGTGTGAGCGAGGATGTGCTCAGTGAAGCTTCTTTCTCTCCGCTCGCCGAGGCCAAGGGGTGCCTTGGTTTAGGGGTTCCTCTTCTGCCTGGGATTGGTGTTCGCTTTCCTGTCTGACATGTGTACCTGGACGTGCCTCATGAATCTCCCCAGTCTAGGGCCCGAAAGCACTCAGCCAGATAGGTAAGGAGTCAGTTCCACCACTCGTCACTGGTGACCATGTGGACACCTGCATGGACACCTGGGTCACACGTGGGGCTGCCCACCGACTTCCTGCCCTGCCTTTGGAGCGGACACCTCGGGGTCCTCTCTCAGTGCTCCTCCACTGCCCAGCCCACTCTGCCTGCCCCCTGCACTTCCAAGGAGCCCTGTGCCTCCCCTGAGGACACGTAGACATCCAGGTTTACAGGGCAGACGCCACCACCCTGGGAGCTCTGTGGCTGGGTGAATACCGACTTCCAATAAAGGGGCCAGTCAGCTAACAAGTGGGCTGGTACTGAGCAGTTCACAGGAGATGTCATCACTGGTAGAAAGGGAAAGTGATACTTGGCTTCACTAATTGTTAAGGAAATACAAACTAATTTGTGTGTATTGAAGGAGCCCTAGAGAAGATGAAAGGCTGTCGGTGCTCAGATTCTGCCCCTTTGGGGAAAGCAGGTTGGCAGGTGGTTTGGGGGTTTTTCTTTGTATGCTTTTTTTTTTTTGTAAGGAAGAGTGGCCCTGTGCTAACTCTTCCTAACGCTAACATCTGTTGCCGATCTTCTTTTTTTTTTTTTCTCCCCAAGCCCCAGCACATAGTTGTATATCCTAGTTGTGAGTCCTTCTAGTTCTCTCTGAGGTGCCGCCACAGCATGGCTTGACAAGCAGTGTGTAGGTCTGCGCCAGGATCCGGACTGGCAAACCCCAGGCCGCCAAAGCAGAGCATGTGAACTTAACCACTACACCCCTGGGCTGGACCCTGGCAGCCCCTGGCAGATGGTTTTCAGAGAGGGGTTTTTTACTGGAAAGGAATCTTGAAGGAGATATCCACAGGAAGAAAGAGCCACAGGAGTGCCAGGCTCTTCCTGACAGCACATGGCTGCGCATGACCCTCAGGCTCTGATCTGCAGAACTGCCCCTAAACCCCTGGAGGGTGGTGCCTGTGAGTGGCTCATAGGCTTCCTCCCCGTGCAGGGACGGAGCAGCATCTGCTGTGATTATGAATTACGAGTGGGTGTATTTTCACACAGACAGGTGCCAGGAGGGACCCAGAAACAGCAGAGACAGCTGGTCTGTTGGGGTGGTGGCAGCAGTTCAGCTCTCACAGTGGCTGAAGTTGACAGAAGGCAGCTTCTGTAGGAGCCGGCTCACATCCCTGGGTCTGTTCCTCCTGGCCTCCTCACTCATGCCACTGTCTTCGCTCTGGTCCTCTCTCCCATCTCCAGGGCTTTGGTGCCATCTCGCCATCTCCAAGGCACTGGCACCTCTGCTGTCCACCCTGGGAGGCCCCGCTCAGGTGCTGCCTTTGCCACAGGCATGCCTGGCCTGCCTTCCACCTGACATCCACCTCCCTGCCCTAAGGGCCCCGTGCTGGGCTGTGCAGGCTGGGAGCCTGGATGGGAGCCTCCCCTCAGCCACATCTGAGCCTTGGCGTCTCTGCTACCCACAGGGGCTCTCATCAAGGGTGGGAGGCCTGCTGCTCCTGTGTGGGTGGGTAGGGTCGTTGGTAAGGCAGGGCTGGTCAGGGTGACACTGCCTGTTGGGTCTGAGGCAGGAGGCCCAGCCTGGCACTGCGCAGAGCCTAGGATGCCTGCTTTTCGGATGTGGTGAGGGCCAGGGCTCAGGGCCAGGCTCCTTGTAGCATTTCTTGGGGTCCACTTGCTGGTCCTTGGGGTCCTGACTGACCGCATCTGGAATGCCCAGGGTGGTACTCCCCACTCAGTGCTCAGGGGCCAGACGGCTGAGCCCCCAGGGTGGTCCCAAACTCCATGCAGCAGAAAGAGGAAAGCAGAGGACTGAGTGTTTTTCACAGGGCTGGGAGGGAGCCTGAGAGCCACGTGGAGGCCAAAGGCCTCTCGACACCTGCACCCAAGTGCGAGAGCTGCTCGGCTGTGACGCTGGGGCCGCAGGCCTTAACCCGTCCCCAGCCCTGCACAGCTTCCACGAGGGTCTCCAGCTGTGCGATATCTGCCGCACCAACTCGCTGCCAGCCCCCAGGGTTGCCCAGGTGTTCTGCCTCCGCCCTCCTGTCTGGCAGCAGGACAGTGTCTGCCCAAGGACAAGGACACACTGTGCTGCCCGGCTAGCTCTGCCGGGACTGCTGGTTCAGGAGTGTGTGGGGACCCAGGGCTCTAAATATACCAGGGTGAAGTCAGTGGGGTGGAGACAGGCCATGTGGCAAGCCCAGAAGCCCGTCGGGGCCAGAATCCCAGGGTTGGGGCCGGGGAGCAGGTAGTCTCTGTCCCTGTGGGGCTGGCCTCCTCACTGCCCAGGGACTCGGCTCCCGCTGAATCCCTGCCTACGGCACAGTGGAGGTGTATAGAGGATTGACTGTCTCCTCTCAGACCCCTCCCCCGATGCAGCCTGGAGGAGGTTTCTGGGGCCATCTGGATGTGTGCAGGGACACAGCCCCAAACGAGAACATCTTGAGCTGAGGCCTTTGTTGTCCCAGTGAAGATGGGCTCCCCTGCAGAGGGGCAGCTTTGCGAGAGCTCTGTTGAGTAGAGCGAGGGCCACTGTTGCTGCTCTCTAGTCACTGCATTTTACATCCAGAGGAGACACAAAACCTGAAGTGGGGATGGGGGTGATAGTTGTCTTCACCTTGAAATGGGGCAGATAGGAAAAGCCGGGAATACATGTGGCCAGCAGAACAATGGCCCCCAAGGATATCCCCATCCTAGTCCCAGAACCTGGGCATGTGTTGCCTTACGTGGCAGAGGGGACTTTCAGATGTGGCTAAGCGTGCAGACCTGATTATCCCAATTCAGTTAGGCCCAGCCTCATAGAATCTTTAGAAGCAAAGACCCTTTCCTGCCAGGTCAGAGAGGTGCGATGTGCAGACTTGGCCCCAGTGCTGACTTGGAAGATGGAGGGAGGGTCCACAAACCAGGGAAGGCAGTGTCCTTCAGATGACAGTCAGTGAGAAGCCGAGGACCTCAATCCCCCAGTAGTGAGGACCTGAACTCTGCTGACACCTGAAGGGGCAGGAAACAGGGCCTCGAGAGCCCCTCAAAAGGAGGGCAGCCTGCTGACAGTTGGACCTCAGCCGGGAGAGCCGTCCCGCACCTGAGCTCCGGGGCCCAGGCTGGCCATGGGTGTCACTGAAGCTGCTCATTGTGTGAGCCTGTATGCTCATTTTGGCAGGACAGGCAACAGACCACAGTGCTGGCACAGATGTGGGACACAGGTTTCCCTGCCTTCCTCTCCCACTGTGGGCATGGGATGGGACCAGCCTTCCAGGGGACTAATTACACTCCCCCACGGCCTTTGAGCTCACAGCCCCTCTAGCTGCTTTGTGTGTTATGTTAGCCCAAAGTCGCCTCTAGTAAAGGGAGTGATTGCGGCCTTGATTGTAATGGCAAGTGGAAATGCCTGAGTGTCCCCCAACACACGCACACACGCGCACACACACACACAAAGGCTGAGCAAAGGCAGGTCTGTGATGCTGGGTGTTTTCTGATGTTAAGTGAGAAAAAGCAAGGCAGAGCGCCATGTTTTGTTCTGTTGTATTCTGAATGTGTGAAGTGTATATACCCAGGCTTGGATATGCAGGGCACAGTTTTGGAAAAGATACAAGGAAACTCTGGTGGCTGGGTAGGGGGGCACACCTTCCTGGCTGTATCGTGCCTGCGTAACTCGGTTCTCGTGCGTTGGAGGTGTGATGTGCTCCCTGTGTGATCTCAGAGGGCAGAGGGCTCCCCCGAGCCGGCCTGCCAGAAACCTGGAGCTGCTGGGGGTTGTTGAGCTGCAGGACTTCCTTATCTAGTCCGGCTCCAAGTCCTTCCCGGGGACGCTTTGTCAAATGTCCTCCCAGGCTGAGGCTGGCCTCTTTGTTAACTGTGTCTCATTTTAATAAGCAGAAGTTCTTAATTTTGATGAAGCTCAATTTGTCAATATTTTTTCTTGGATAGTTAGAGCTTTGAGGCTCCTAAGAAATCTGTCTACCCCAAGGTTGCAGAGATATTCTCCTGTTTCTTCTAGAAGCCTTAGGATTCTCGTTTTTACACTTAGTGCTGTGACTCATTTTGGATGCGTTTTGAGTCTGCTCCGATGTTCGGTGTAAATGGAATCATACAGGAGGTATTTCTCTGACTCTCCTCCCTGTTGTTGAGCTGCGTCTTGTTGATGCACTGAAGCTGCAGTTGGCTCATTTCTAGTGCTCTTGAATTTCTCAGTCTGTTCCCTCAGCTCTTGGAGGACATCAGTGTCATTATAGCATTTGGCCACATGACCCACACCTTTCTGTGCCGTCTCTATCTGTAGAACGTGCTGACAGTAGTACCTCCCCCTGGGTGATTTGACGGCTAACCAGGTGGTGCTACATGGAGATGCATGTTAGTAGAGCAGGGCCTGGCTCGGAGCAGGTGTACACAATGAATGGAATTGCTTGGTCATAAGATCTGCATGTGTTCGACTTTTCCAGACAAAGTCTGTCACTCTCCAGGGATGGCTGTGCCCCAGAACCACCTGGTATGGTCAGATACCATTTCTCCCAGTTGGGCGTGTGCACAGCGTGCCCACTCATGGGTTCAGTGTGCATTTCCTGATTACTAACAAGGTGAGGCAGACTCCTGTTGTGCGGGGCTTGTTCGTGGCTCCTGGCCCAGGATCTCTGTGTGTTCTGGATACAGGTCCTCAGGGCCCTGTCTTCTCCCATCTTTGACTTTGCTCCCCTGTTGCTGTCTTTGGATGAACTCTCAATGTCTTGTGTAGCCAAAAGGATTGGATTATTGTGTATTGCTCTTTTATGCTTGGTGCCTTTTATTGGATAAATACTTCAGCCTCCCACCCTATCAGATGGCAGAGGACTATACATCCCCTGGACTAAGAGCAGATCTTGGTTCATCAGCGTCAAGAGTTTGGGTTGTGTGACAGCCATGCGGGCAGCTGGGTGGGCATGTACATGGACGAGCTGGTGGTAGACTGTACACCGGGTGGATGGAAGTGTGAGCCCTGGGTGCCATGCTGGCCCTGAGAGCAGGGAAGAGGCTGAGTAAGGTGGGGCTGGCTCCACTGGCTCTTGCTGAGGGAGAACCTGGCAGGCTGGGGTAGGGAGAAAGGTGGGGGCCTGATGAGTGGTCTTGTTTTGCAGATCCGGAACATGGTGGCGGTGCAGGAAGTCATCTCCAGCCTGGAGAAATACCCCATTACCAAAGAGGCACTTGAGGTGAGTGTCCCCAGCCCGCAGCACATACTCTGAGGGTGCCGTCTTCCAGGGGCACTGCAGGGACTGGCTGACTTCAGACCCAGAGCTGGGGCTGCTTCCTCCACAGGACACCCCGCACACTGGGGGAGGCTCTGCTGAGTGGCCTCTGGCTCAGACCCACCGTCTGCTGTGGCCTTTGCCACAGTGTGCTCTCACCCAGAAAGTGTCCCTGGCGAAGCATCCTTGCCGTGACCTTAATGGTCCACAGCCGCTGGGCACCATGAGCCCGCAGGTTGGTGCTTCTGAGAATGCTGCCTGTGGCCTCAGGACCCTAACGTCTGAAGACAAGATTTGAGAAATTAGATGTCCCTAAAAAAAGGACCCAAAATTCCTGTACGTTTTGTGTCCAGGAAATCAGTGGTTTAGGGGTCACTGGGGTCATTTCAAAGACCAGGGGCCCATCCCACCTTTTCTGGCTCAGCTTCCTTTTCACGGGGTGCTCCCTGTCCCAAGTGTGTCATTGTCTCTCTCTGGTTGTAGGAAACACGACTTGGGAAGCTCATCAACGATGTCCGCAAGAAGACGAAGAACGAGGAGCTCGCCAAGCGGGCCAAGAAGCTGCTGCGGAGCTGGCAGAAGCTCATCGAGCCCGTGCACCAGAATGAGGCAGCGCTGCGGGGGCTGGCGGGCGGCCCCGGCTCTGCCAACGGGGGTGCACACAACTGCCGGCCGGAGGCGGGGACGGCTGGCACACCCAAGACCATCCATGACCTGAAGAACCGCAATGACATCCAGAGGCTGCCTGGGCCGCGGCTGGACAGGGTGGGCAGCCGCAAGCGCCGGGGGGACCAGCGTGACCTTGGCCACCCTGGGCCGCCTCCTAAGGTCTCTAAAGTGAGCCACGACTCCCTGGTACCCAACTCATCCCCCCTCCCCACCAACGGGCTCAGTGGGAGCCCCGAGAGCTTCCCTGGGCCCCTGGACGGCAGTGGGCACATGGGCCCCGAGGGCAGCCGCCTGGAGTCTGGGGAGATGGACAAGCACAGCGGCAAGATCCCCATCAACGCCGTGAGGCCGCACACCAGCTCCCCGGGCCTGGGCAAGCCCCCCGGGCCCTGCTTGCAGACCAAGGCTGCAGTGCTGCAGCAGCTGGACAGGGTGGATGAGACTCCGGGCCCCCCCCACCCCAAGGGGCCGCCTCGCTGTTCCTTCAGCCCCCGGAACTCACGGCATGAGGGCCCCTTTGCCCAGCAGCGGAGCCCGTACACACCCAGGGGCTCCGTGCCCAGCCCCTCACCGCGGCCCCCAGCACTCGATGCCACACAGGTGCCGTCACCGCTTCCACTGGCCCAGCCATCAACGCCCCCCGTGCGGCGGCTCGAGCTGCTGCCCAGTGCGGAGAGCCCAGTGCGCTGGCTGGAGCAGCCTGACGGCCACCAGCGGCTCACAGGGCCCGGCTGTAAGGCTGGGCTGCCCCCAGCTGAGCCCCTCCTGCCCCGGGCGGGCTTCTCTCCGGACTCCTCCAAGGCGGACAGTGACGCTGCCTCCTCCGGCGGCTCGGACAGCAAAAAGAAGAAGAGGTACCGGCCTCGAGACTACACGGTTAACTTGGACGGGCAGGTAGCCGAGGTAGGTGTCAAGCCTGTCCGGTTAAAAGAGCGGAAGCTCACCTTTGACCCCATGACAAGACAGATCAAACCTCTGACCCAGAAAGAGCCAGTGCAGGCTGACAGCCCTGTGCACATGGAGCAGCCCAGGACAGAGCTGGACAAGCCCGAGGCCAAGGCCAGCCTCCAGAGTCCTTTCGAACAGACGAACTGGAAGGAGCTGTCACGCAACGAGATCATCCAGTCCTACCTGAGCCGGCAGAGCAGCCTGCTCTCGTCGTCGGGCGCGCAGACCCCGGGGGCTCACCACTTCATGTCCGAGTACCTGAAGCAGGAGGAGAGCAGCCGGCGTGGGGCCAGGAAGCCGCACGTGCTGGTGCCTCATGGCCCGCCCGTGGACCTCCCGGGGCTGACCCGTGAGGTCATGCAGGACGATCTGGACAGAATCCAGGCCCACCAGTGGCCGGGGGTGAACGGGTGTCAGGACACACAGGGTAACTGGTATGACTGGACGCAGTGCATATCGCTCGACCCGCATGGCGACGACGGGCGGTTGAACATTCTGCCTTATGTCTGCTTGGACTGACCGCCCGTCGGCCTCTAAGTGCATTCCCACCTCACAGTGGGTGGGCGGGGCCCAGGGCCCAGCCACCTCCAGGGGTTGGGAGTCTGGGACTCTGGCCCGGGGCGGGCGGGAGGAGGCGGGAGTCTCAAGGTCTCTCTGCTCTGCCCTCAAGATTCTCCTTCTTTTGTGAAATGCTGCTACCAGTTTACTAACAAAATTGCAAAGGAAGGACCGCGTGGAAGGAAGGCCGGCAAAGTGAGTTCAGAACTCTATAGCAAACCAGCTATAAAAAGCGTTAGTCCCCACCCCAGAAGAGGTGTGGACGCTTCCCAGCGCCATAAGCTGGGCCCTCAGTTGCAGGCAGGCACAGAAATCCTGTGGGAGAGGTTATCTTTAACACAGCAACCGAAGCACGCATCTCATCAATTTGCATTTTCTCTTTTTTAATTTGGCCCTGAGTGTCTGAGGCAGGTGGGCAACGCCGTGGCCTCTGTGTGTAACCCACTCGGCCAGCGTTTCCATCATGGTGCCAGAAGCTTCTCAGCTGTAGCAAGCTGCTGGTTTTGGGCGGGCCACCTGGCCGACCAGTTTGACCCACACTCCACGGGCATCCACACATTTGTATCTGGTTCCAGTTAAAACCCAGTTTTTAAAGAAATGCTGCAAAAATTTAAGTTTTCTAGAGTTTATTTCATCCCTCTCTTCCATCTGACCACCAGCCAGATAATTTTCCTTTCTTTCTACCTGTTCATTTTCCCCTTCTTGCACATGTCTAGAAAATTTCACCTTTCTAGAATCCCTTCCCAAAAGACACAAAAGTAACCGCGGGTGCTACTGGTGTGTAAGCTGTCCTGTTGGGCGCAGAGACCTGTGTGTACGCTGGAAACACTCATAACCATTCCTTTAGATTCGTTTGCCTTATGGTTATTGTCATAAACGCGATTTGCAAAAACAAGGAGCCTTAGTGAATGTACAGTACCTAGACTTCTGTGTTCTCAGGACACAGAAGGGAGCAACTTTGCTATTTGGTCCAGTAAGTGGACACCTTGTGATATAAATGTGGAAATAAAAAAAAACCATTTGCACAAACCAGTCTGAGAATCGTTTCTCATTTGGTCCTTTACAGCCGAATCAGCCCTTTCTGAATTCTGGACCAGTCAAGCAGACCTGGACCCCAGGTCTGAGGTTGGGGCCCTGCAGCTAGACTGCAGAGAGGTGGGAAGGGCAAAGTGGCCAAGCCAGCCTGTTGGCCTTCTGCTTGGAAACTGACCTCCACCTGCCTTTCAGTCATTCAGGGCCACACTTTGCCTCTCCCCGTTCCAGGGTCACCTGCTAGCTTTGGGTGACAGAGACTGAGGGTCCACATCAAGGAATGTTATCCTGGCTCCATCCAAACCTCACCTGCCCCGGAGAGAAGCCCTCACAAGCGGACTCCGTGGCCCAGGTCTCAGTGACCTTGTTTTGCCCCAAGATATTTGTAGTTCTTACATGGCATGGCTCAAAGCTGTGTCTGGCAGCGCACCCCTTGGCCCTGGCCCCGGGCTGCCAGCTCCCCATGCAGGCCTGGGGCTGCCTTAGGATCTGGCTGGTGCTGATATTTTTAAAAAAAAACAAACTTTTCTCACCTGACCATAAGAGATAATCTTTTAATTTTCCTTTCTCATCCTTGAAACCATAAGCTAAGACTTTAGTTTTCTAGTTTTTTCACTCCAGAATAGGTCATCTTGGACATATCTACTTCATTTCACAGATGGGAAAGCAGCCCTACAGGGCAAACCAAGGGGTCCAGAACCATCAACCCAGAACCACAGTTTGAGAGCCAGCAGGGATTTCTGACACAGCCTTGGTGCAAGACATCTGCACCCCAGAAAAGGGGCTGCAGCGGCTTTGCGGGCAGTTGGGTTGAACGCCACACCTGCCATCTACCAGCTGTGTGGCTCTGAGCTAATCACTTCACTCCTGTGCACAAGTCTCCATTTGAGAGATGCAAGTACTTGCCCCAGAGTTGTGAAAACTAAATGATCCAAGTTTAAAAAGAAAAAAAATCACGTCAGAGGAACTGTGCTGCGGAGTAACTACTTTCCTAATTCCACTGTTTTCTCATCATGTGGCCAGCCCTACTGCTGTGCTGATGTCCCGAGGAAATGACATTACTCTCTGACAAAGGGTCATAGGCACAGCTGGAAGGTATTAGGGTGCGTGCAGGTTGGCATCCTGTGAGCATCTCCTTGTCTCAGACCAGGGCTTTGGGACAGGTCGCTGCTCCCCAGCCCCTGCAGGGACCACCTGTGCTGTGTCTGAGTATCCAGTAAGCCTCGGGGGAAAGATGTTGCCTGCCTTTGAGAACACAAGGTTAAGCCAAGATTTCCCTCCAACATTTTGGGGATCGATGGGTTGTCACTTTCTAATCTGCCAAGTAATGACACTGTAAAATGGAACTTTTAACATCCCCTTCTTCCCAAAAGTTTTTAGAACATGATTTTAGAAAAAATGAAAGTCCTTCAGGTAGTATAAGATCATCTTGCCGAAAACACCGTCTCCTTTTCCTCCGCTGGGGCCCGGGGCTTGCTCTCTCCCCCGCCGGTGCTGGGGCATCAGCAGTCAGGGCCGGCACCTCCCCTCCTGCAGAGCCCTGGAGACAGGTGCCCGAGGAGGCTGCCACGGCCACGGCTCCCGACTTGGCCAAGGGACCTAAGCCGAGTCGCTTCCCTTCTCTGGCCTTCGGTCAGTCCGTCTGTGAAACGGAGATGGTAACACCTACCGCACAGCGCATGGCGCGGCGTTCCCAGAACGTGCTCCTCGGGACCGCGCAATGTGGGCTGGCCCCTCCGACGGTTTGCAGGAAGAATTTAGCCCACGGAGAGCTTTCCACAATTTGGTTCCTTTTCCCGAAAGGTCTGATCTCTTACTCTCGGTGTCCGCCGCCGCCCGCCCATCAGGAATCTGGTCGGAGGGCGCCGGTGTGGCGCGGACATCCAGGTTTGACCCGCAAGCTCGATGGCCGGCTCACAGTCCCCGGCGTCGCGGGGCCCCTGCCCATCCACCTCGGGCTCCAGCTCCCGCAGCCCAACTCAGCTCTGACTCCGCGCCCGTCCTTCCGCTTCCGGGACAGGGCCCGCCCCTCCGGAAGGCCACCCGAGGGGGGCGGGGCCTGTACTCGCTACGTGGTAGGGGGCGCGTCGGCCGGCGCGCGGCGGTGACGCGAGCAGCGTCGGCCAACGGGGAGCGGCGTTGGCCGGCTGGCCCGCCCCGCCCGGCCCCGCCCGCGCCCGGCGTCGGGCCGTCGGACGGGCGGGAAGGGGCGGCCGCTCAGGCAGGATGGCGGCGGCGGTGGGCTCGGGCGCGGGCGCGGGCGCGGGCGGTCAGGGGGCGGCGGGCAGCGGCGGCGGCGGGGCGCGCGAGGGCGCGCGGGTGGCGGCGCTGTGCCTGCTCTGGTACGCGCTGAGCGCGGGCGGCAACGTGGTCAACAAGGTGATCCTGAGCGCCTTCCCGTTCCCCGTGACCGTGTCGCTGTGCCACATCCTCGCGCTGTGCGCGGGGCTCCCCCCGCTGCTGCGCGCCTGGCGCGTGCCCCCCGCGCCGCCCGTCTCGGGCCCCGGGCCCGGCCCGCATCCCTCGCCCGGCCCGCTGCTGCCGCCGCGCTTCTACCCCCGCTACGTGCTGCCGCTCGCCTTCGGCAAGTACTTCGCGTCCGTGTCAGCGCACGTCAGCATCTGGAAGGTGCCGGTGTCCTACGCACACACCGGTGGGTCCTGCGGCCGGCCAGGGGGGCGGTGGCCGGGGCGCGGCGCCCCCGGCTTCGGCGCTTGGGTGGGAGTGCCCGGGCTGGGGCGCATCCCGACGGCCTGGAATGCCGGGCTGAGAAGTCAGCTTCTGCCCAGAAGGTGCTGGGGGCCGCCCAGGCTTGTAGCAGGGGAGGGAAGGGACTGAGAAGGGAGCTGAGAGCTGGGCAGGGCTGATCACACCTGGCGGGTCGGCAGGAAGCCCCACTGAAGAGGCTTGAGGGGCTTCCAGCCCTCCCACTCCGCCGTGGAGTTGGGACAGGCTGCCAGGGCGGGCTCCGGGACGAGGGCAGCTCCCTGAGTGCCCCTTGCCTCTCTTTCCAGTCAAGGCCACCATGCCCATCTGGGTGGTCCTCCTGTCCCGGATCATCATGAAGGAGAAGCAGAGCACCAAGGTAACTCAGGAGGGCTCCGTGCAGGTGGGGGCCCCTAGGGCTTCCCGACTCCTGCCCTGCTGGTGACGTGGTCCAGGCTCCTTTGACTTCCTGTCAAATAAGGAAGTCAGCCTAGAGGCCTCTGGTGGCCCTTTTGCTGCTGATGTTCTGCAGTCGCTTTGGGGACTGCGGTGTGTGGGGTGTGTGTCCCTGAGTTGTCTCTGCTGTTGATCTCGGGATCGCTTTCTTCCCTCTCAGCTCCAACTTTCCTCCCTTTTTTGATTCTCTCCCTGGGCTTGCTGGTAGGTGATGACTTGGTCCCATCTCTGCCTGGCAGGGACCAGGGATGAAGCACCTGCCTCCGTACAGCTACGGAAGTCGGACAGATTTGCACTTCCTGGCGAGAGACAGTGGCCGGGTTGGGGACTTCTGGGGTCAGAAATGAGAGGCTAGTCAAAGGAGTCTGATTTTGGCAAAATCCAGCAGTCTTAGAAATTCAGACAGCCAGAATTAGGATTCAGATTAGAAAATGGAAATTCTCCCCAGCCAGTTGTGATTGTCTGGGCTTGGAAGTGAGAGCAGCACGCAGAACCCAGAGCTGCATAAGGAAGATGCTTTTGGAACAATCCAGGGTCTGTTCAAGATGCCAAGCCAGAATATTTCCTGGCTTGGGGCAAGCGAAGCTGTGGCTTTAGCCAGAGACAGCCTTGCCCCACGTCCTTAAGTGGAAGTGGGAGTCCTGTTGTCCCAGCTGGAAGCCATTTCATGCTGGACAGCACATCTCTTTTCTACGTGGTCAGTTTCTGGCATTCTGTGTTTTATGTAACTCAGAGCAGCAGTGCCCTGGATCAGCTTAGAGAAATTGGGCCACCTCTGGCTGATTTTTGATTTCAGCCTTTGTCCTGGCCCCCAGGGTGACGGCAGGTATGCGTTGTCTCTCCGGGTCCGAGTTGCCCAGGAGGTGTGCCGCTGCATCACTTGATATCGCATCATGTTTATCAGGTTTCCCCGTTGTGTGGGACATTGTACCCAGCTGGGGCCAGGAGCCGGAAACTTCACCCAGTGAGGAAAGACGACCATGGCCTAGGCAGGGAGACTAATGATAATGATGAGTGAGTGTGAACCCACCCAGTGAGGCAAATAAGGCAGGTAATCTGCATTCCTCTTGTCGGGGAACAAGTGGGACTTCAAAGGGGAGAGTTCCGTGGCTGAGGGCCACAGCCAGTAGTGGGGGAGCTGGAATTCAGCTCTGCCCTGGTTGGTGGGGGGGACACCGAGGGCCTCACCACCTTGTCCTAAAACCTCGCAGTACTTTAAGAGTGTCCTTTGTAGGAGAGGGATGAGCCGGGAATCAGAAGAGCTAGATGTGGGCAATGGATTCCACGTCTCTGGAAGCTGGGAGGCATTTAGGCACCAGAGCCCAGGACCATTTCAGGCACCAGGCTCTGGAGAGCTTGGACCCTCTGGAAGGCCTCCTGTCGCGGCACTCACTACTTGCTCATTGAGCCAGCAGTTCCTGGGTGCCTGCTCTGTGCTGGGCACCAGGACAGAGAGTGAACAAGGATCTGCCTTAAAGGCAGCGCAAGGGGTAAGGGATGGAGAGCGGGAACACGCAGCAGAGGACCTGACAGGGTCTGGGGGCAGGTGGGTCGGGAAAGTTCTCCTGGTGTGTGAACTGAGACCTGAGGGGGAAGTTCTCCAGGTGCAGAAGGTGTGGGGGGTGTGTCCTGGCCAGGGGTAAATGCATGTTGGAAGAGCCCCAGATAAGAGGGACCCAGCTGGCCTCTTGGAGGAGCAGGCACTCCGACTCTGGTGTGTTGGTGGCAGTAGCTGGGTAGATCCGTTAGGACCAGCCCCGGTGTGTGGCCCTAGCAGGGGCTCTTAATGGGGGTGATCGTGTAGGGGATGGGTGGCCACAAGGACACACCCTGCCCCCAGGGGCTCTGATAACCATGTGCCATTCCTCCCTGTTGTCACAGCTAAGACCGTTGTCCAAAGGGGTAAAGGGGTAGGTGGCGTCCCTCTGGTGAGGGAGGAGAGAGCAGCTGGGGCTCTCCGCCGGCCGTCTGTGCTGGGCAGCCCAGCTCACTCCAGCCCGTCAGCTCCCTGCCCTCCTCCCACAGGTGTACTTGTCACTCATCCCCATCATCAGCGGCGTCCTGCTGGCCACAGTCACTGAGCTGTCGTTCGACATGTGGGGGCTCATCAGCGCCCTCGCTGCCACACTGTGCTTCTCGCTGCAGAATATTTTCTCCAAAAAGGTATCTGGGCACCATGCTGGATGCATGTGGTGTTTCAGGGGGGGAAGGGGGCACCTGGAAGAGTAGCCAGGTAGGGATTTCTGTGGTGTTGGAGTGAAAAAAATCTGTAGCCCTTCTGCTGGTTTTCTGTTTGTTGTTTTATTTTTTAAATAGTTTGTTTCCTACTATAAAATTAGCATATGGTCAATGTGAAAAAATCAAAAGCCCAAAGGAAAAAAATCTGAAAACTTCCTGAGCACCCTCTGTGTGCCAGGCACTGTAGTGGGTGCTGGCGATGAAGAATCAAGACACCTGTGCCCGCCCAGGGGTTTCCATGCTGTTGAGTAAAGTCACAGTACTGTCCCCAAAGGGGAACTCCCATCAGTGCTCAGGGGTTTTCTGCAGTTTTCGGAGTTGTAATATAGTAGATACATTTTAAATTTTTGCTCTGTTTATTTACTATTGTAACATTGCCTTCTCCCCATTGTTAAACGTTATTCCGTAGTGAGCACACTTTCCAGGCACCAGTCCCAGCTCTCAGCTCCCCTGCTGCACATGCAGGCTCTTCCCACTATGCATGATAAGTAAGGCGGGTGTGGACAGCCGTGCTAACCTTCCCCCTTCTCTTGGGTGACTTCATCACAACAGGCTCACGGTTCTCGGCTCATGGGCTGTGGGATGGTTACGGCTCGTGATGGGCCTCCCCTGGTTGTATTCGGAATGGCTACACGCCAGTTTAGACAGAGACCAGCGGGACGGCTGAGGCCTCTCTCACCACAGCTTCCCCAGCACTGAGTGTTGCTGTTTTTTTCACGCCTGAAAACGTGCTTGTTTCAGGCGCGGACTGCTTGTCTCAGCATAGGTGCACTGCAGGTCTGCAAGGTCGGGTGTCAGAGTTCATGTGCAGTCAGAGTTTGCGGCCTGGCTCCCTGCAGCCCTTCTTGCCCCTTACACTCTCGATCAGCCTTTACAGAGGTTTTCTCTCTTCAGGTATTGAGAGACTCTCGGATCCACCATCTCCGGCTCCTGAACATCTTGGGCTGCCACGCCGTCTTCTTTATGATCCCCACGTGGGTCCTGGTGGACCTCTCGGCTTTCCTGGTCAGCAGCGACCTGGTGAGTTGGCCATGGCCGAGAACACACCCTTTTCCTGGCTGCTTCCAAAACTGGTACTTTGTCGGGGAGTTCCACATCTGTTGACGTGGGGGCAGTTGGGGCCTCTGACAGCTAGCCCTTTGAACACTCAGCTCTTTGTCACGACTCACGTTGTGTGCACTCGAGGCAGTCGGCTTCCTTGGCATGTCCTCTTCTAGCATGCTAGATCCCAGCTGCCGAGAGCTGCTGCATTTGCACCAGTGGCATCAAAGAAGGAAAAAAGGCCAGCATGGGGGACTTTCCTGTCCTGAAACCTGGCTCAGGCCTCACTTTGACTTTTTCAAACTGTGCTTGAACTGCTTTATCCCTTCCTTGGTGTCTTCTCTGTCCATATTTCCATTTACTCCAGACGTATCTAGAGCTGAGCACAAGAAAGAGCATCTGCCCGCCACCTGCAGGGTCAGCCGCCAGAGACTGTGCTAGAAACCAGCGCAGGTGACAGCGCTAAGAAGGAAGCAGGCCTGGCTGCTCCAGGCCTGAGTTAGAGAGGAGTAAACGTTTATTAGGCTTCCTGGGTCTGACTGGATTCTTCACACTGGTCTCTAGTCCTGGGCACACCTGTGCACGCAGTGGAGCCTAGCCCTGTTTTCCAGCTGAGGAAACTGTGGCCCTTGTGTCCTAACTTCCCTTCCACACTGATCAGCTGTCATTTTTCTGTGAAGAACTTTCCATCGTCAGCCAGGGCTAGTTTGTTACCTTGAAGTACAGTGAATGAAAAGCAGTTGAATGCCTCTTTTCCTTTTCATTACCAATTTTCAAAGTAAAGAGTGAAATCTTTCTTCAAACGTTAACCAGCGAGTGGAGGTCTTTTCAGGGTTTTTGGGTGAAGGCGTGTTCTTTTATTTTCTAAGCATCATCATGAATTGTGGTGTTTGTCAGTTGCGCGCATCCTTCTTTTCACGGTCAGATCACCCTACCTCGGCTGCTAGAGGCTTCCGGCTGCTTCCTGCCCTCCCGACAGCACACACCGGCCCTCCGTAGCTTCTGCTCCAGCAGGGTGTCCTCTCTCAGCTGCGCACCTCCGTCCCACACCAGCCATCAGCCCCTCCTCCGGGAGCCCAGGCTGCTTTCAGTGGAGAGTGGTGTTCAGAGGCACAATCTGAGCACCATGTGTGCTCACTGCTGTGGGGCTGTCACTGCTTTCAAGCCTTTGCCGTGAAAAACTAGGAAAGATGTATCTGGGGGCAGACTGGAGAATTCATACTGTTTTGTTCCAATTTCAATTTAAGGTTACAGGAATTAGTACTGCTTAGATTTTTTATTTCTATCTTTTCTGGTACACTTGGTGCCTCACGACATGTTTTCTTTGCTCATCTCTCCTAGTTAATCCGTATACACACATACCCGCTACAGGGCGCGCACTGAGAGGCGGTTAAGATTTCCTCACGGTTCTGTCTGTGCTTAGGCCACGTTCTATTAAAGATGTATAATTGGAATACGGTGTTCTAAGGGCACTTGAAATCACTGTTTTTACAACGTGCCTGTGTCACCAACTTGTTGTGCAATTGGGTTCCTTCTGTTGGTTTTCAATTTGTAGGCAATGCTTTCTTTTTTTTCCCCACTGAATATGTCAAACCTATTTCCAAAGCCAAATGACCGGACAAGGTTCATTCAGAGAAGTGTCATTTCAATAGCTGTCGCCTGCACTCTCCCCCGTCCTCCCCTGAGAAGCTGCCATGTTCATGCTCTTCGTCTCCCCTCAGCGTTTCTTTTGAATGTTATTGGCTGCATAATATTGTCAGTAGGTTTGGCGTCAGTTCTCTGGTAACGTTCTGTTACAACTCAGCGTCTACATGTATACCCAACACACAAGCATGTAGAGTCACACGCCACATAACACTGCGGTCAGCCATGGAGCACATGGACAACGGTGGACCCATAAGATCAGTACCATATAGCCTAGGTGTGTAGTAAGCTAGACCACCCAGGTTTGTGTAAGTATTGTAGGGCAGGAAGAAATTTTCCTCTACCCTCTAGGTTCTTGGGGCTGGTTTAAAAATTAAGTTGACCTTAAGACAGAGTGATTTTTTTTTCATTTATTTTATTGAGGTCATAATGGTTTATAGCATTGTGTAATTTCAGGTGTACATTACTATCAGTTTCTCTATAAACTGCATCATGCTCACCACCAATACTCTAGTTTTTTTTTTTTTTTGAGGAAGATTAGCCCTGAGCTAACTACTACCATTCTTCCTCTTTTTGCTGAGGAAGACTGGCCCTGAGCTAACATCCATGCCCATCTTCCTCTACTTTATATGTGGGATGCCTACCACAGCACGGCTTTTGCCAAGCAGTGCCATGTCTGCACCCGGTATCCGAATCAGTGAACCCTGGGCCGCCGAGAAGCGGAATGTGCGAACTTAACCACTGCAGCACTAGGCCAGCCCCAATAGCCTAATTTTTATACGTCACCATACTTATGTGCCCCTTTACCCCCTTTGCCCAGTCCCCAACCCCATTCCCCTCTAGTAACTACTAATCTGTTCTCTTTATCCACGTGTTTGTTTCTCTTCCAGATATGCGTGAAATCATATGGTGTTTGTCTTTCTCTGTCTGGCTTATTTTGCTTAAGATAATACCCTCAGCGTCCATCCATGTTGTCGCAAATGGTACCATTTTGTCTTTTTTATGACTAGGTAGTATTCCACTGTGTGTGTGTGTGTGTGTGTGTGTGTGTGTGTGTATACATACCACATCTTTATCCAATCATCAGTCGATGGCCACTTGGGTTGCTTCCACATCTGGGCTATTGTGAATAAAACAGGGGTGCATAAGTCTCTTTGAATTGTTGATTTCAAGTTGTTTGGGCAGATACCCAGTAGTGGGAGATCAGGATCATAAGGTATTTCTATTTTTAGTTTTTTGAGAAATTTCCATACTGTTTTCCATAGTGGCTGCACCAGTTTGCATTCCCACCGACAGTAAATCAGGGCTCCCTTTTCTCCGCATCCTCTCCAACATTTGTTATTTTTTGTCTTGTTAATTATAGCCATTCTGACAGGTATAAGGTAGAAACAGATTAAGAGGAGAAAAACAAACAAGTTTAATACATATATACACGGGAGAAAGCCAGGAAAAGGGAGTAACTCCCCACAATGGCAGAAGCCTCCACTTTCAATACCATCCTCAGCTCCACACGAGAGAAGATCTTGAGGGCGGCGAGTGGGGAAGGAAGGCAATTCACAGGAAGGTGAAAAGGAGCAAACATTTGGCAAACAGGTGTCTGGCCACAGACACAGAAGAACACAGAGAGGAGCCCAACAACCAGGCTTTTCCAGGTGCCTCTGTTCACCACCTGCTTCATGTGGTACTAAGGTGACAGCTCGCTTACCAAGACAGGTTTTTTTTTCTGAATTCTTTTAGGCCATTAAGGGGGAGGTAACAAGAAAAACTGTGAGTCTTGTTTCTTAAAAACACTCAACCTAGGGGGCCAGCTGGGTGGCATAGTGTTAAGTTCATGTGCTCCACTTCGGTGGCCCAGGGTTCATGGGCTCAGATCCCAGGCACAGACCTACACACCACTCATCAGGCCATGCTGTGGTGGCGTCTCACAGCAAAATAGAGGAAGACTGGCACAGATGTGAGCTCAGCAACAATCTTCCTCAAGCAAAAAGAGGAAGATTGGCAACAGATGTTAGCTCAGGGCCAGTCTTCCTCACACACACACAAAATACCAGCTATTGTCCCTTACAACTTGGATGGATGTTAAAGGCATTATACTAGTGAAAGAAGCCAGTCTGAGAAGGTTCCATGCTGTATCATTTCACTGATACGACAGTCTCTAAAAGGCGAACCTATCGCGATGGTGAGCACAGTGGCAGTTGCTTGGGTTGGCAGACAGGGCTCATACAAAGTAGACCCTTGGAGGAATGTTTTGGGTGATAGAGCTGTTCTGAATCTTGACCGTGGCGTTGGCTACATGAATCAATACGTGTTGAAACACATGGACTGTGCACCGCAAGGAACACTCAACTTTATTGTATGTCAGTTTTTCTAAAAAGCCAGATTGGCTGAGTTCCTCTCCTGGAAGATAGATATCTATGCAAGCTGACTGCCTTGTAAAAACAGCGCAGAAGTCCATGTCGGTCACCTCAGGGAAGGAGTCCTGGGAGAGGAGGCCAGCTGCCCGTGAGGGCATGCTGGGGGGCTCATGTGCGTCATAAGGGGTGCTTACCCCAGTGAGGAGCAAAGGTCTGGGTGACTTTGAGCAGGTTATCTCAGCACATCTTCCTCACGTTTAGGAGGACCCCATGGTCCTTCCCTCTCAGGGTAGTGTACGTAGAATCAGGCAGCCATCCTAAGATTGCTCCAGCTCCTGTCCTGGCGGGGTCACTAAACACTGCCATCTGCGGGGGAGCCTGCTGTGCCTCCTGTGGCCAAGCCTCGTGCGACCCGGGAATTGGCCTGCCCAGAGCAGGTGCCGCTGAGCAGCTGTGCCTTTGCTGCCTCGACCAAGCCACGCTGGGTCCTGAGACATCTCTGCCCTTGGAGCACAAGGACATGGTGCTGTCCCCACACCCTTGTCTGGGTCACAGACACTGGACAAACAGACAGCCTGGGGCTGTCCACAGCAGGTGTGCCATCTCCAGAGGTCCTTCCATTGGCCTGGCAGCCCTGCCTGTAGCAGCCTCTTGGTTCCCTGGCCTAGAGGGCTGGTACTGAGGTGGGATTGCAGAGGGCAGGCAGGCCTGGGAGCCGGGCCACGTGCCTTCTGGTGTCCAGTCCTGAACAGATAGAAGTCCCTAAGTATCCAGCACTGCATGGTTCTCCCCCATCTGCCTGTCCTGGGAGCAGACATCTGTGGTCCAGATGTCTGCTCGTTGTGGTTTCTTGACCTCTAGGCCCCCTGAATCAGAGTGGCCTCATTCTGGTGAGGATCAGATGGTAAGTGAAGTTCTGACAGTAGCATTGCCTTCTGCTTGTGCTTGTTTGGCTTGGGATTGTGTTAAAGCATCTTCGGAGCCATGACTGAATGTGATCCTCATAGCAGCAGCGTTGTGCGGGCTCACAGGGATCATTCTCCCCCATTGCATAGGTGAAGAAACCACGACCAGAGAGGTCAAGCAACTTCCTTAGGGGCTCCCAGCAACAGGGAAGACCCAGGGCCTTTGGCTCCTAGCCTGGGGAGTTCTTCATACACAAAAGGGCTGCCCTCTCGGGACCTCCCCATCCTATGGAGTGCATCATGTCTGCTACAGTCTGAGTTTTTGTGTGTGTCCCCCGCCCAAATTCATATGTTGAAACCTAACCCCCAATGTGATGGTATAGAAGGTGGGGCCTTTGGGAGTTGCTTAGGTCATGAGGGAGGGGCTGTCAGGAATGGGATTAGTGCTGTTATAAAAAGGACCCCAGACAGCTCCCTTGCCACTCCCACCACGTGAGGACACAGTGAGAAGATGCTGTCCCTGAGCCAGGAAGAGAGCTCTCACCGGACATGGAATCTGCTGGCGCCTTGATCTTGGGCTTCCAGCCTCCAGAACTGAGACAAATAAATGTCTGTTGTTTGTAAGCCCCCCGGTCTGTGGTATTTGGTTAAAGCAGCCTGAACAGATTCAGATGAGGTCCAGTAAGCAGACTTTGCTCTGCTGACCCCAGAGCCCTGGCTGCTCCATGTCCAGAGATGCGGGAAGGCTTTGGGTCACATCATCCTCTGCGCCCTCTGCTTCCTCGGCAGGAATGGGGGTGATTATTATTGCAGTTGTGCCATGCAGAGTGTCATGAGGGTCAGAGGTTGTGGTATAAAGCACCTGGTCTCACACAACGACCCACCTGGGTCTGCTCCCCACCGATGGTGTGACCCCAGTATGCCATTCTGTGCCCCTCCCCCACCTCTGCCAGCGCAGCCATGTGACCACTGTGCTCTTCTTGCTCCCCGTCTCTGCAGACTTATGTGTCCCAGTGGCCCTGGACACTCTTGCTCCTGGCTGTCAGTGGCTTCTGTAACTTTGCCCAGAACGTCATCGCCTTCAGCATCCTCAACCTCATTAGCCCTCTGAGCTACTCAGTCGCCAACGCCACCAAGAGAATCATGGTCATCACAGTGTCCCTGATCATGCTGCGAAACCCAGTCACTAGCACCAATGTCCTGGGCATGATGACAGCCATCCTGGGGGTCTTTCTCTACAATAAGGTGAGCCTGGGATAAGGGAGGTTGGCCAGTCGATGCCCAGGGAGGCACCAGCGGTTGATGGAGGGGGAAAGGGGTTTCGCCAGTTGCTAAGGGGCCAGGGTTCCAGCCACCAGCTTCACCACTGATTGGTGTGTGGTCTTGGCACACCCTACCTGGCCGGCCTTCCTTTACCTGCACAGGTGACCCCAGGCCCTGGCTCTCGGGTCTCTTAAGGCTTTGTGAGGGATTTCGGGATTTCACTCCCTCGTTGCGAGGACTCTGTTTAGTCTGGTGTAAAGACCCGTGATGGCTAACAGGGTCTGTTCACTGTTCTTTGTCCCTGCCTGACTCTGCTGGGGTCCACACCTGCGTCAGCCTTGAAGAGCTGCTTGGCTGTGAGTCGCAAGCTCCCCTGTCCAGTGGGCGTGTCCTGGGGAAGGAGCAGCCGGGTGTCTCATTTCTCTCTTGACCTTGCAGACCAAGTACGACGCCAATCAGCAGGCCCGGAAGCACCTCCTCCCCATCACGACGGGGGACCTGAGCAGTAAGGAGCATCATCGGAGCCCCCTGGAGAAACCCCACAACGGCATCCTCTTCCCCCAGCACGAGGACTATCAGTATGGCCGAAACAACATCCTAACAGATCACTTCCAGTACAGTCGGCAGAGCTACCCCAACTCATACAGTTTGAACCGTTATGACGTGTAGAGTCTAGAGGGCAGGCCGGACCGTGCTGCAACTCCTTTCCCCACCCACAGCAGTTCCAGAAACTTCTGACAACCAGTGAATGTACAACAGCTCAGCCAAGGGGCATAACCATCTGAAGACCCTGGGGGACAGCAGGATGCCGTCCCTGTGGCAACACTCGCCGCCCCCTCGAGCCCATGTCTCATGCCCCCTCTCCCGGAGCCTGATATCTGAAGGCTGTGTCTCTGGAGATCTTGGCCGGGTCTTACCTTTCTGTGTGGACTCACTCCCCAGTCATGTTTTTCAGAGTTCTTGTCTGCTTTCTAGCTCACATTCAGGACCCTCTCTGGAAAAGCGGGATTGCTGTGGATCCAGACCTCGACACAGGCTAGAGGTGGTTTCCTGGGGGCCAAGGAAAGGACCACAGGGTGATGCACGAGAGTGAGAAACTAGCCGCCATAACTCCAGTGCTCAGACAGGCGTGAGCAGAGCGGGAGTTCCTCAGAAGCCCTCCAGCAGCAGAGATGGACCCAGCCTCCCGCTCAGCCCCGTGGCCGCTCGCATTACCGGCAGCCATTCAAAAGGGCAAAGCTACTGCAATTAGCATTGACTCCTTGAAGCCTAGTTCTGTGACCTGCGTGTCAGAGGGGGCGTAGGCCCAGGGCGAGGGCAGGTGCTCTCTCCTCTGCCCTGTTCTCCCCTCGCCAGAGCAAGGCCTCTCTCCTCGGGCAGTGAGGAGGGGCACTGGGAGGTCATGGTGAGTGCTTTGAGCTCTAGCCCTGTCACACTCGTTTGTCTTTTCTGGTGAGTCTTCACCACTTCTGTGCTGACTTAGGAGGTCTGGTGGGGAGAAGTGGATTTTATGAGGATCTTGCATTTTTCTAGGGAATATTTTGTACTAGTGTGTGTGTTTATGCCTTGGTCTCCAGTAGGGGACACATGAGGACTGGCTTATGGATTGAAAAGTCTTGTTTCTAAATGTTTAAAAAGAGGAAAACTTCCTCCTGGTGCTGCCTGGCTGACACATCTCAGCATTTAGCAAGAGGCCATGAAGAGTTCTGAAGCACCTCGCTCATGAGCCCACGGCTGAAGGTGGGATGACTCCAGAAGGCCACCTCAGCAGGCTGTGTAACAGACGAGGCTGCAGCACTCTCGTTCTCTGCCGCGTTCTCACGGTGTTTACATCAGGCTCTGAATCCTGTCCTGTGAAGGAGAAGGGTGGGCACCGAGCGATGCTTGCTGTGCCAAGTCGGATGCTTTGGTCAAGAGTAAGTCTGGGTTTTGGCAGAATCACGTCATCAGGAAGACGATGTGACCCCAGCAGGTGACCCCTTTGCACCCGGGTCCCAGGTGGGGTCTTCGTCTTTCCTGCATCATGAAAAGACTGTGCCCTCGTGGAGGGGACCACTGGCTCCGCTGGTGGGCTGTTCTGCGGTGGCTGCCTGCCTTCAGCAACATCCCCAGCTTCTTGGACAGGCACTTAGAGTGACCGGCAGATGGGACGGCAGGTCACCCTTCACATCCCTGGGGGCGAAACCTTTTCGCATTCAGAGGAAGCACTGTAGCTTCTGCTTGACCCCCGGTTTCACAATTGGAATTTTGTATTTAAGAGGTTACATTTTGTCAGCTTCTGAATGAGCTGCTCCTGGAGAGCTCGCAGGGTCTCCTGCTGGCCTGTGACTTTACGCACCATCAGCCTCAGGAGTCCCTGCCTGTCATCTGCTTGCTTTATAATTACTTTGGCCCCAGGTTTTAAGACAGTTGCTGTGTAAAACCAGAAGAGGCAATCCTGAAGGGTGGCATTTGGGAAAAGAACTTGCCGAGTGCCTTCACGAGAGGCAGTGGCCTGCAGCTGAATTTTTCTCACTGGTGAGTAACAACGAATGGGGAAAATTTTGCACAGCAAAGATATTACAGTGGTTGTCTTTATGATGATAGTAACTGATTCCTTGAACAGATAATTGAACTCTAAAATGAATTATGCCTCTATTCAGGTTTAATGAAATTTCTGATGATGCTGAAATTTGTATATTAGTTTTCCTTTTCCAATGCAAGATCTGCTGGTAAGGGGAAATGACTGGTTTTATTACGGTTTATAAATTAATAAATAGGATATTTAATTCTGTACATAAATTTACAGCAAGTACATACACTGGAATGAATGAGACAATCATAGTAGACCAAATCATCAGACCAGAAGACAAAGATATACTTTTGAGACTTGAAGGTTCAGAGCTCACATGGACCTCTTGGAGGCCAGTTTTCCAGCCACTTCCTGCCCTGCCCCGCCACCCCGCCCGCCCCTGTTCACATCTGCAGCTCTGCTCCCCCACCCTCCTCACTGCTGGGCTTTGTGGTAGCGAATTTCGCATACCCGGCCATGGTAGGGTCTGGCCTGAGACTGCGACGCCAGCCCCACTCCTTCATTTTACAGAAGGGGAACCCGAGGCTCAGCGGGCATTTCTGAATAGTGTTTGTTCACTATTTTGAGTCTCGGTGTGGAATTTTGAAGCACCTTATTTTAAGTCAGTCATTCTAGGGAAAATCAAACCCCTGTGAACAAAGGAGAGAAGCCAAATCTGTTAAAGTGAAGCAGCACTTGGAATTTCTGAGCTTTGCTGCCTATCTGGCACACATCCTGCAGCAGGCCCCCACATCGCTGGGACGCAGCCAGACCCAGACACGTTAAGGTCTGACAGCCTTAAGGGCATAGAATGTTAAATTCTTAAAGGATCTGAAAGTTGCGAATTCTTTTTTTCACTTGTCACCTCTTTTCCAGGCTCAAATGCTATAGACTGTTCTGTGGGAATGATACTGTGTGTATATTCATTGACGGTATTTACCAAAAATAAACCATGGTCTCCAGGGAATCGAGATTGCTCCCAGTTTGTCAGTGAGGGCCTCTTTCTGAGTGACCCTGTCTTTAGTGTGCCCCGCAACAAAACATACAAGAGGTAGAAAGAGCAAACCAACTTGGTTCTCATATCCAGCTGTATTGCAACCTTTTTTTTTTTTTCCCTGAGCCAAAATTTAGGACATGTGATATGTGAATTTATGAGACTATAGAACAAAACTAGAACCACAGCTTAACAGCTAATGACATGCCTTTATTGAACAGAATTAACAGGAAACCTCCAAGAACGTGTGGCAGCTCTGCTTCTGAGGCGTCTTGAGGACCCACGGCTAACACTGAGCACCTCCACGTGCGGCACGGTGGTGGGCTTCCACAGGCAGTCCTTAGCATCTCTCTGTGTTGTCTTATTAGCCGGACTTCACAGACGAAAACGAGGCCCAAAGGGGGGAAGTCACGTGTCCGGGGTCACGCAGCTACTTCAGTCTGCCTCCAGAGCCCGTTCCCCCACATTACTCAGAAACCATTCCCACAGAGACTCTCCTTCAGTCGCAGTGGAAGGGTGTGAGTTTCTGCTACACACATTGCCTGCATCCTTTTAATTCATAATCCTTTTGTTCAGTGACTTAGCGAGCACTTAGTCTGTGCCAAGTACAGGAAACAGATCGGTAAGCCTCCTCCCCTCAGAGCACTTGAGCGTAAGGAACAGATGTGTAACGAAGTGGCGCACAGGCCCCACATCACAGAGACGTGAAAGAATGCTAAGGAAAGTACGGGGGAATTATTTGAGGGGCATATGGGACTGTTTTGACTTGCATTTTTCACAGGATATTTTATTTGCACATTTTGTATTATATATGCCTCGTTTAGCACCAGAATCTAAGAGAGAGAATATTAGCCCCATTTTACAGAGGAAAATAGAAACAGAAAAGGCAAGCTTGGCCTAGTGGAGCAGACCTGGGACCCAGGAGTGTGGCTCCAAGGCCAGGACCATCGGCCCTGCAGAGCAGCCACCATCAAGTGAGCTGTCTTGCTTTCCGTCACGTCCTCCTGAGAGGGGTTGGTGCGAACAGCGGTGCAGCCTTTCATGTCACTCAAGAGGCTCTGCCATGGGATAGGGTCGCCGCCCTAGCGTCAGGGCCTGTTCGCAGGGCCAGGTCTAGGGATGGCCCCATTGTTCAGACACCAGCGTCTGAACTACTGAGGAGTATCCTCTCCCAGAGACTGGAATATTGCTGTCTGTCTCCCCAGGGCAGCTCCTTTGTGACCAGATGTTTGCTTGGTGCTCTTGTTCCAGGACAGGACAGGACTTTCTCTGTCCCACATCCTCCTCCTTGCCATGGCCTCAGCAAGGTGACCGCAGTCAACGATTGTGGGAGCTGAGCTAACAGACCAAGTTTTGGCTTTATTGAGACTCTTGGTCTGATGGGCCTAGATTTCCTCAGTCACCCACTGCTTTTTAAATAAAAAATATAATAAGACAATAAAAGTTGTGAAGTTTGAAAAAAATTGTTAAAGCTAAAAAATCACCTATACTATGCAGATGTTAAAAAGAATGAGATAGATCTATACAGAGAGGGAACAATTTCCAAAACATATCGAGATATATAAATGTGCTTGTGAATACCCAGTTTCTCTCTGAAGATACACACAAGAAACTGGACACAGCAGTTCCCTCTGGGGAGCATACATACGTATTTTTTTCCATATTGTGCATATTATTACTTTGTATATATGCTTTAAAAAACAATATTCCTGAAACATTTCCCCCCTTATTAGATAGCCTCCCTTGATTTTGTGTGTTCGCGTCCGTCGTGTTCTAGTATTGTTATGGGGATGTGCTATAATTAACCAACCCCTATTGCTTCGCGTTTAAACTTCATTTTATGGGATAAGTTTGCAGTGCACAATGTAGCACATACTTCTAATGTGGGCTAGAGGCCTCACAGCACGTTGGCAGATCAAAGCGGGTATGCATATGCTCTTAAACTTCTTTCCATTTTGCTTCTTAGGCGGGTCCCTTCAGCAAGGTCATCTTGCCCAGGGGTGTGCATTTTACTTGTTTCCCGTAGGCTTTTTTTTTTTTTTTAATTTTTGCTTTTTCTCCCCAAAGCCCCCTGGTACATAGTTCTACATTTTTAGTTGTGTGTCCTTCTAGTTGTGGCATGTGGGATGCCGCCTCAGCATGGCTTGAGGAGTGGTACCATGTCCACGCTCAGGATCTGAACCAGCGAAACCCTGGGCTGCTGAAGCAGAGCGCACGAACTTAACCACTCGGCCACAGGGCCGGCCCTTCCCTTAGAGTCCAGGTTGTTTCCAGGTTCTTGGAGACCATCTCTGCAGCCACCTCTATTTTTTTTTTTTTTTTTTTTTGAGGAAGATTAGCCCTGAGCTAACATCTGCTGCCAATCCTTCTCTTTTTGCTGAGGAAGACTGGCCCTGAGCTAACATCCATGCCATCTTCCTCTACTTTATATGTGGGACACCTGCCACAGCATGGCGTGCCAAGCGGTGCCATGTCTGCACCCAGGATCCAAACAGGCGAACCCCGGGCCGCCAAGAAGCGGAACATGCGAACTTAACCGTTGTGCCACCAGGTGGGCCCCAGCCACCTGTACTTCTAACACCCCTCTCTACTGCTTGTTTCTGACCAGAAGATTCTGATTGAGCCCACTGAAATGAGCCTGAGTGAGGCCTTGAGGTGCTTAAAGTTTCAGTCTCAGATAAACAACATTTTAAGCACTATGAAATGAATGTACGAATGTAGTGGTCACGGGTGTACAATCTTTGGGGGGGGGCAGTGAGCAATATCAGTATTAAACGTGCACTGACTCAGCACAAGATCTGTATATACACTAAGACACTTTTAGTGGTGGTCTGAAAGTGAAACCAACACAAGAGACTCCAGTGATGCTCACTCCATCAATTACAGGAAATCCCCTCCACGTTGTCTTCTGTAGTCGTTAAAAATGACCATACAGATTCATTAACCATTTTGGTTCACAGATCCTGTTAAGAATCTGATAAATGGCTGTGTATCTCCAAGACGAAAATGCATATATGTACAATATTGTGCTATTTCTGAAGTTGATCCATGGTGGATCACAAGTAAAAACTTGTTGATACGGATCTTTACTGGCATGGAATAGTGCCCACATATCCAGATTACAGAGCACGATACTGAAGGGATGGTCGCACGTGTTCCCTCTGCCTGGGGCCTTCACATGGCTGGCTCCTGACCCGATCTCCAGCACACCTCACCTCCCAGGGCCCTCCCAGCCAAGCCTCTCGGCAGGCCCCGCCCTCCTCCCTCACCAAGGCCTCCAGCACGCTGTCTGCTCTTTCCCTCAGCAACACCTTGGTGATGACAAGTTTGTTCACCGGCTTACGGATCTCTGCCCCCACAGCCTGGGGGCTCAGGAGAGCAGAGCTTAGGTATGACTTGTTCGTCATCGAGTCCACATGCCACATCCAGCCCGCCTTTTCGCGAACCAAGAGTGGTCTTTACAGGTGAACATTCACAAGCAACTCATGACAGGAAAGACTAACTTGAAACCCCCAAATCATTCCATTCTTCTCATTAGTACAGCTGTAATTTAAAAACTGTACTGGATTATAACAGTTTGAATTCCACCAACAAGGACCATTATAGACGTTTTCCTCTTTGGTTATATAAGTAACTACATAACATTCTCGACTTTGCCTCTTGGCCCGCAGGCCACAATATTTGCTCACTGGCCCTTCGTGGAAGAAGTTTGCCAACCCCTGGTCCAGAGCGATACCTGGCATACAGGAGGCAATCCATAAGCGTTAGATGGAAACCCTTCCTAACAAGAAAAAAAGAAATGTATCTCAACTACAGGGGCATCTATTTGCACAAGGAAAATAGGGAGGCAGAGCCAGGATGAAAGTGGTCACCTCAACAGGGTCAGACTGCGGGGGCGTCCACAGCCCGCGTTTCTCCCACGTGCGCCGCGCCTGCTCTTTCCCACCATCGGCGCGCGTTCACGTCACCATCCTGGAAGCTCCGGGGCTGCACCTTCCAGGATGGCGCGGCGCTCGCAGGCACGGAACCGCGCGAACCGCAAAGGGGCGCGGCCCGAGGCCGGCGGAGGAGGGGTCCCCCACCCCAAGTCTTCCTTCCCAAAGCGCAGGTCGAGCTAAAGAAAGCGAGCGGGCCGACCTGCCCAAGCTCAGTAAGCCCGCTGCCATCCCCGCCAAGCCCGTCGGGCTAGCCCGGGAGCCTCCCGGACGCACCTCACCTCGTAGTCCCCTCACCGCAGCCGCGCGAGGAGGAAACACAGGCCCGACCCGGGCAGGAACTGCCCTGGCCCCTGGTCCCGCGGAGACAGCGGCGGGCAGAGCCCTCGGGCCTGGAAGACACAGGCTGGGAAGCCGCCCCCGCCGTGGCTAACGGCTGTTCTCGGGCGTCGCGCGACAGCGCCCAACCCGCGCATGCGCAGTAAAGCCCCGGCGCGTGCTTGTCCCTGGTCCCTCCGACGCGCCTGGCCTCGCGCGGCTTCTTACCGCCCTCCTCTTGCCCTCACTTCCGGGGTTTCCCGGAGACGGCCGTAAGTGGCGGGCGGAAGCTGCCCGCGAGGCCGGCCGTAAACGGCTCTCTCGCGCCATTTCCGGCCGGCTTCCGCAGACGGCGCTGGTGGGCGATCGTGAGGCGCCAGAGAACGTTCCCCACGGCCGGAGCCATGGAGATGCCGCTGCCGCCCGACGGTGAGGCCCAGCCCGGGCCCGGGGACCGTTTCTCTCTCCTCGGAATCCCTTGTTGGCCCGTCCCGCCTCCTGGGGTCCCCGGGCCTAGGAGGGGGCGGGGCTCGGCCTCCCGGATTCGCCTGCGGCCTCTCCCGCGGGTCCCGCGTCCCCGGCGTGTGTGTGGCCCCTATCGGGACCCGTACTAGGGCGGCCTCTCCCGGGCCCACCCCTAGGGACCCTGGCATGGCGGACGCGGGCTGGGGCACCAGGGCCGCCAGATTGGGCCGGTCCTCGCTGATGCCCCGCGTGGCC